AAAAAATGCGGTTAGAGCTTAAAGATGGAAACGCGAAAACGGCGTTTCAAAATCTTCCCACTCTGAAGGCTTAATAAAAAAAAGATCGTTTACAGACCCCCGAAACGCCGGCTTTGTATGGATGAGAGGCTGGTTTGGTGAAAAATGTGTGCGTTTAGGCCAGGGTTTGACTTCGTGTGGACGGGGCCTAAAAGACAGAGAAACAGCATTACTGCTGCAACGAAGAGGAAGATGGCGAATGAGGAGATTGCAGCTTAAGTTAACCTCTTAACATCCACTTCATTTTGGGTAATCCTCACCTATTTTGCATACCCAAATGAAAAAACCAAATAACTTAGGAATTGTAAGCCCAAATTACATGTGCAATACATTATCTGAAAGCTAAAACCCTCTAAAATTAGATGACTAGAACACAGACCAACCTGCATCAGTTCAAACATGACTCAAAGTTGTTGTTTTTTTTTCTCGAAAATGATGGGTCTTTTTGAACAGCAGTAATAAAGACATTCTTGAGAAAAGACAGGTTTTATTGTATTATATTTGTTCTGCATCATGTCAACCACACATTTAGAAAATTTCAGACCTCTAGCTTTAACAGTTCCAGAGCTGTGGGGTATGAAACTTGGTGTCAGCTTGGAGCCGGTGGGTTTTTAAGAGGTTAATGCTTAGGTTATTATATAGTCATCTATGGCAGGCCATTTTTACATTTAATAAAAACACTCTCCTCTCTGTTGTTCCATTTGTAGATCGATAATATAGGATTATTGCTGCTCAAAATCACACTGATAGTTGGAACTGTAATAACAGATTTTCTAAAAATCCTTTTTTGCAGCAGAAACTGATTTGCAGAAAGTAAATCCTGTCAACTGAGTTTTTAATCACTTCATTAAATACATGTGGCTAAAAATGGAATTCATTTGTAGCAAAGCTTTAAAACACATTTAAAAAATGGGTACATTGTAAATTAGGGCGATACAAATTATAAAGTAGGTAAATACTAAATAAATGTTATTGATATAGATGCGGCCAAAGCAGCTGTTTTCATTGATAAGCTGCATATTATCAGCTATAAGAAACCGACTAGAAGGTAGAGGAAGCACAGTTTTAAGTCAATCTATGGGACTAATGCTGTTTCAGTGGAGTTTTTTTTTCTATAATGATGTTGTCACACGTCAATGTTCTTTTGCTGACATCAAGTTCTGTTAAATACCTGTTAAATATGTCTGTCCTGCTGCCAATGTGAGAGCCAATGAGGTTGTAGATTTATGTGTTGGACTTTAAGGTGCTTATAAAGATAAAAAAAGAAATAATTTTCTGAATATGAAAGGTAAACGGTATGATGACCCTCTTCTTAATATATTTAATTCTCTGTCAATAAATGCTGCTCAGTCTTTAATTGGATCCTTGTCAATGGATATGCTATTGCTGAGTTTTACTTAAGTGGCTGCATCCTCAGAAGGCCTGATTCGTCGGCTGATTGTGTAACAGCAAAGCGCCAGGGAATCTCGAATTTGAAGACTCCTCGTTATGCGGGCGACAGATGCAGCCTTCTTTTTTCCCGTTGTGAAGGACGGGTCCGCTGTATCCTACGTAGCCTTGGGTATGTCGTGATTCATTGCGAATCAAAGCTCAGAGGAAAAAGGTACTTGGCGTCGAACAGTGGTGAATATTGGAAGTTCAGTTTAATATAATACAAGTATGGGAACAGTTCTGTCTGAAATTAATGAAAATTGTTGTTTTAATGGTTACTGAGTCAGATATTTGGCGGGTAATGTTTGGTTTATTGAAAAGTTTTTATCTGTTTGCAAATGGGTTTGGCTGACATTAAGGTACAGATTCCAATATCTCTGCAGGGTGGGGGATTATAAATCTTATATTCCCGATGACGATACTGCTGCTGAAGCTCCTCGACAATCTAATTAGCACCCAGAACAGTAGTAAGAAGTTCGGTATCCATTCTTTGTCTGCTTTGTGTGTCAACGGTAATGGTTGCTAGGCGACATAGTGTACTGGCAGTGAAAGCTGGAGAGGACTGGACCTGTTTGAATCCATAACCAAACTCTTCCAGCCTCCTTATTTTCACAGACCTCAAAGGACCCAGTCCAGATGGACTTTGTAGGATGCAGCCGCTAAAAATCGAGCACACCCTGTGTTTGTGTGTTTAACGCCTAATGTGTGTCCGAACATCCGCCCTAACCCCTAAATAACTACATAGGATGGCCCGCTGTGACAACAGATCCCATAATGGATTCCCAGATATATGTGCTGGTCTAGTGATCATGGGTAATCACTACTTTTCAAGGTGCATCATGGGTAATTTTGAGGTCACTACTTTTTCCTCCACTAGACAGTCAATTCAGACAGTCAACTAAAATGACCTAACCACTACATAGTGCCCTATATAGTGGTTAAGGTGGACATACGGACACAACACTGTATTTATTGAAGCAAACCTGCTCCCAACCAGGTTAGCTCTGGGGAGAATGTTACTATGGTAACAGAAACACAGGTTGAGGATATTCTTTGTGGAACAAAAACTAATTTTCCTGATTTCAGGTTTAGAAAACTTGTTTTTTAAAATGGAGCCCTGTATTTGGCTTCATCATTCCTTCAAAAACATCTGGTTGTTATGTAAAAATGTGGAAAACCTTTAAGGGGTGTGAATAATTTTACAGAGATATCTTGAAATTGAAACAAATGTGCTTCTTGTGCCTCTCAGCTGACTCCTCGACTCGACACTCATCCCGCCATGATCACGGTGCTGGAAATGGGCGCGGCCCGCCACTTCCTCCGAACCCAGCAGCTTGCCCGCACTGCTGAGGAGAGGGCCCAGATCCTGCAGCCCACCCTGGAGATCAACGCAGGGTAAGAGAGCCCAACTATGCAGCTCAACTTTATTTATTTATTTCAAAGTAATAAGTAACTTTCCTTTCTATCTCCCTATTAGACATGATCTTATCAAGAAGCTGCACTCACTGAAGGACACCAACTCGGAGCTGGCTGGATTGTTACTGGAACAGGTACTTCAGTTTGTTTGTGTCATGTTTTTTGCAACAAAATGTAAAACCTCTACTGGGAGTGAGCTGTTCTTGATAGAAACGACAGACTGTAAAAAAATAAATCACCATTTAACATCGTTGCCCCTTTCAGATCTACGACAATGCCATGATTGCAGCAGGCTTGAACGATGACCCACGGCCCATGATATCCCGCCTCAATGAGCTGCTGACCAAAGCGCTGGAGAAGCACTGACCGCTCCCCTCACCCTGATTCAGTTTGCGGACTTCCTTGTTGCTGCACCAGCAGGCATGAAAACGAGCTCCAAGAAGCTCCTTCATCTGGTTCCGTGGCGTTTGATACGTTTCATCCATAATTTGTATGGACAATCTTTCCCGGCTCATTTTTGATGGACTCACATTCCATTAATGTCGGATAGTTGGAAGGTAGTTTGAATGTTTTCCCATCTAATTCTGAAAGAGCTATACATGGGGATAAGGACTGATGATGACAGCTGCTTATTTTTTAATTATTATTTAAGTGGAAAAAGCAGACCCGCTGAAATAAAAAAGGTAAACCCAGAAGTCTTGGAAAAACAATTTTACTGCAGTCAAAATGTCTCTGCTGTAACCATCAACAACACCAGAAACCTTCTCCTGCATCCAGTCTTTCAGAAAGGCTGCAGTAGTTCTCAGCAGCTTTGGGTTCAGGGTCCCAGAACCGTTAGTCCGTTTTCACCACCTGAGCTCGGTCTGAGCCATCACACCACCAGAGCAGGCTTCATTTCCTCTGGGTGAGCTATTCCTTAGTCTTCACCTCCTGACTGGCAAAGAGCATCTGATCCATTCTAGAATGTCAGGATAACTTATCGATGTTTGCTAAGAAGCGCTGGGCCCACCATTCATCCAGATCTATGGGCACAAAGCCTGAAAAGGAGGAAAAGAGTTTTAAGTGACTCGAGTTTAAAAATAAAGTATTTCTTATAATTAATAAAGATAAAAAATGCTTTTTAAAGTCACAATTGGAGTAAAAAAAAATGTTGAATGCTTAAAAATGCTAATTGATGAATTAGATTCCTGGATTTGATAGAATTTATTTTGTTTGGTACATTTACTACCATCTAGTGGTCATTATGAGAAACTGCATCATGGAAGTTAAGTACTTTTTTTTCAACACTTAAAAATCTGATCCAAGTCAAAACAGTCATATTTTTAAGAAATTTATTTTGGTGTGGTTATTTTGTTTCATTTGAATAACAGCTTTAGTTTATTATCTGACCTCTATAATGATGTGTTGCATTCATGAAACATAGCCTGCTTTACAATATAAAACACATTTTGTCAGATGATTACTTGAAACAGCAGCTTTGTTGATCCAATAAAAAAAAAAAAAAAAGTCCCTAAATGATCATTAGGAAATTTCTCTTACAGTCTTATAACACAAAATATATTTTTTAGATCTTTGTGTTTACCTTATTTAAAAAAAAAAAAAAAAAAAACGGTTCATAAATAAACTCCCAAATACAGTTAACTTTAACTAATGGCGACTATGTGTTTTATTGCCCTCTAGTGGTTATAGCTGGTCTTGCAATAAATGTCAAAGCTGGTAAAAAAAAAAAGCTGTTAAATTATAAAATAACTTACAATCTGCAAGTAATTTATATGAAATACTTTTACATATATCCTTATTACCACTTTTACAACACTTTTTAAATGCATTTAGTATAAAATCCATCAAATCTGCACCTACCTAGTTGAGATAAAGATATTTGATTATTTTACACCTCAAAACCAAATCTGAATTTTAATGTTTACGTCTTCCAGGCTGTTCTTTGCATTTGTAATGAAACCATGTAAAACTAGGCCTACAACATGCAGACGAGGCAGAGAAGCGGCTGTACTCACCGTCCATGTGCGGCCCGGGACTGGTTTCTTCATAGTAAACCGCTGCCTGGGAATCTTCCATCCCCTGACCTTCCTGCTGCTCCGTCACCTCCTGCCAGGCTGAACAGAAGCGGCTCAGTCAGAGCAGTCCATCATAACCATTATAGACACACCTACCAGTTAGGTTCAGAAAGATTAATGAAAACAGTCCTGAGTCAAAGAGGCACACCCACAGAGTTTAAAACCAGCAGGGCAAAGGCAACTCCAGAGAAATGTTTGGATTTTAAATAATTCAGTGTGCTGTTGCCTTCAGGTTAGCTATCATATTATCTACTGTAGCTGTAGTGCCTTTATACTGTACTTTTCTCCTTTCAAGCAAAAACTTTAGCGTATTTCTACTAAATAGACAACTGCAATGATTAAGAGAAAACTTCTCTAAATTTTTGGTAAGCAGCTTAAGAATGATTGTCTTAACTTTTCCTTCTGGTGATAGATTAACTATTGGATCAAGATCTGGACTTTGGGCTGTTTTTAAGAGCAGGATTATATTTTGCTCAAAGCCTCAAACAGGTTTTCTTATGATCTTCCATTTACACGCAGAAAAAAAAAACATATCCCCACAGCATGATGCTCCCTCCACCGTGTTTCATGGTATATTCAGATGAATGTGAACCTTAATTTTTCATCCATGCATCTAACCAAGACCTTTTCAAACAGACGTCTGTGAAGCAGTAGCTGCAGTCTCCAACCTGAGCTGCTGATCTCCACAGTTTGTTTGACCTTAAACTTGTTGTGCATAGAGAGGTTTGCAGTTTTCTCTTATGCATGATGGGTTGAACTGTTCCCACAGATCTCTGCAAAGCTTTAGATGCTGTTTTATTACCCAACTGTGTGTTAAAAAGCTCCACCTCTTCCCCACTGACCTGTGCTGCTTGGTCCTCACAAGGATGATTGTTCAAAATGTTTTTTTTTTTTTGTAACAAACCTCTTAGCCTTCACAAACAGGTGCATTTACACACAGGTGGACTCTATTGTGAGACCTCTCAGGAATGTATTCACTGGATTTTAGTTACAGGTGTTCAATTCCTTCCATTTTACCATTATGCACTACTTTGTGTCAGTCTACAAAACACCCATTAAAACACAGTGAAAGAACATAATTGTAATGTGAAAAATCTAAAAAAAAAAAAACAATGGGAATGAAAGCAGTACACTGCAATAAGCAAAATGTCTTAAAATAAGTTTATTAACCCTTTAAGTAGGTAAATAATATTGAACTGCCAATGGAAAATAAGACAATTATATATCATGCATTTGAAATAAGAGGCTGCACTCTTTTCTTGGTTTAGTCTTAAATTGTTTTGTTCCTTTGGCAAAGCGTCTCATTTACTCGTATTTTAAGAATTAATTTGCATAAACATCTTTTTTTGCAGTATATTCTTACAGAGGGGAGATGAAACCTCTTAATGCCCTTGCCCGATCAACCACAAGGTTGCCAGAGTTGTTTATGGGCCGCTGTGGCAGAGCTTTCAATGCCAAAAACTAGGAAGACAAACAGAAAGCAAAAAAAAAAAAAACAGCCGAGCTAAGCAATGTTTCCTACAGACAGAGAATGCTATGGTTACAAAGGAGCCTCTCATTCTCCATCCTTCTAAGTAACAGAATCAAATCAAACCCTTTCCCCACCATCAGCACTTGTTGCATGAAGAATAAGAAATGTGGGTGTGGGAGAGTTTCTCTGCTCTATCAGTGTCACAGCAGCTGTGTGGGAGTCACCTTGGAAGAATGAGGAGGAGGAGGTGTTTCAGCTTTTCTCCTTAAAATAAAATCTGATAGTAGCAGAGTTCACAGAAACCAGCAGTGCAGGCAAATAAAGAGGCCAGTTTAGCCTTCCTTACCCTCGGAGACAAACTTGACATTTTCCTCGTGCTCAGGAGAGAAGGCTTCTCCACGCCTGCTGTCTGCAGGGAGCGTCTGAGCAGGCTGATGGTGCTTCTTTCCATTCGGGCGGTTAAAAACTATCTTGGGTGCAGATAGGCTGGGAGGCGGAGAGACAGAAATAAGAGATCTGGTTCATTCTCACTGCAAGAAAGAAGCAGGTTTCCAAAAGGTGTTGCACTTTGAACCCAAGTTGGAACACGCTTGGCTGAGCAGAAGTCAGATTACAACAGCTGAATGAGAGAGGGAGCATGTGCTGCCAAGGTCACACTGTAACACTCAGGGTCGCTCTGCTGCCTCAAAGTCATCATGTTAACAGGAAGACAGTCAAGGTGTTTTGGATAAAACTGTTGCCCAAGTTTAGTTAAACAGAAAGGTCCTAAAATGAAATAAAATCAAAATGCAAGAGGGAAACAACTCATGTCTGACACCTGAAGGTGTTTTTGATCATCTTACTCACTCTGGCATATTCCAGGAAGTCTGTTTGTGCTTGAACTCATTTATTTTGCTCTCCAGCTGCTGAGTGGGTCCTGCAGGAACAGAATGGATGCATCCCTGAGCATCAGGTAAAGTTAAGGTGTGAGGTTACCTGGAAGTTGCAGACTCACCTGTTCTTCTCTGTGTGACCAGCTTGCTGGGACCTCTGGTGATGGTGTACATCCTGCAGGAGGAAATCCACCTGCCAGCCAACAGCGCTTTATTTCTTCAAGATGCACACTTTCTTCAGGGATCTGAGAAAACTCTTCGGATGTAGGTCAGGCTGGATTTCACACACTGACAGCAGAGTGGCCAAACTGTTTTGTAACCTCATGAAACAGAGCGGTGCGTCTCGCGGATCCTCTGTGCGTAAAAGCAGCAGCCGCCGTGACGCATCTCCCGGATCCTGCGTCTCAGTTACTCTGCTTTACCTGCAGATCCCTGTCCGACCTCCTTCCTTTGCTTCTTATGAGTTTAGTCCCAATGTCACACAGCGACAGGCAGAAGCAGTCATTCACAGGACTCTGGACGCGTCTTACCGACGTCCCCTACACGCCTCCTTTAACGCCTTAAAGAGACAGCGTCCCTTTTTACGAGTCTGCAGCTTTAAACTGCTTTAGGCTAGAGGGAATATTGGAGATGCATTAAAATAGTTTGAAAATCATCTTTTTTTTTATTTTTAATAAAAAAAATAAAGGAAAAAAAGAACATCATATTTTTGGATGATTATAGAAAGAGATTCTGGTTAGATATTGTTTTCTTAAGGAAACACAAGCATTTCTCTAACCTCACACCTGCCAACAGACATGTTTACATTAAACACGCGCTGACAAAATACAAAACTTCATTATAATCATTCAGTTTTAAACCCTCTGATCTTTAAGGCTATATGAAGGTTTAAAATGTGAACAAATTTGCGCCTTTTGAATATTTTAATAACTTTTTTTTAAAGCATGCACAGCAGCTAAGGTGTAACTATGGTGTGGTATAGTTATTATTCCACCATGATGAAAATTGTTTTCTAGGATTATTGAATAATGCTTTATTGTGGCTATGCAAATTTTAAGTGTCAGGTTGCATTAAGGTGTTAACTTTAAAATGAGGAACTTCTGACAGCATAAAGTAGGCCATAAGGTCTCAAGATGATTTTTCCCCCCCACTTCTCTTTTGCTGAATTGTTTTCATTTGCTACTTTTTATTTTTCCAATTAACAGTTTATTGGGGGTCATAGCACAGCATCCAACCTAGATTTCAATCTAGACTTTGACTAGGCCACTATAAGCGCCACATTGTGTGTTTTCAGTTTAGTACTATGCCTCCGATCCTATTTGTGTCGGGCTTAAGGTTAAAAACTGAAGCATGATTAAACCTTCCAAAAAGTCCCGCTTTTATCTCATTAGAACCTGAAACGTTTTTCTGAAGGTCACCATGATGGATGAGCAGTTCCTATGGCAACAGAACTGTCCTATATTCACAGTCTCTGTTCTTATTGCTGAATCATGACTGTAACTAATTTGAGATATGCAAAGCTTCAAATGTTCTGGGTCCTTTAGTGACCTCATGAAGCCATCAATTATCTCTTGGCATAAATCTGGAAGTCAGCCTCTTTTGGGAATTTTCATCGCTGTCCTTGGTTTTCTCAATGTCTAAATAACTGATCTGTGCTCTGCTTTGTAACCCTTTCCAGATTCACAGATGACTTTGGTTCTCATATTTTATTGTCATTAGATCAGGGGCAGATGTGTTCCTTGTTTTTTCTTTTAAAGTCTATCTTTTTTTTTTTAAGGTCTGGCAATAATACGTAGGTATGGCTGTTAGAATTAAGCCAAATATGATTATAGTTTAATCAAGATTTAACAAGAGGACCAATTCTACTGTCTCAGAGTAGGAATATCTCTTTTTGCTTAATTGTTGATATATCTTTAAATATATATAGATATACATATATGTCTGAAAAAAAATAATTCTCAGAGCTACAAGCTATAAAAAAGTTGTGTCACTTTCCCTATTAATGTGTTCTTGGCTTGCAGATTGTCTCATAAATTAATCTTGCGTAATTAATTTGGCTAAAGGAAAAAAATGAAATCTAAATCTTGATGTTGATTGTAGTCTTATATTTTCACCTCGTCATATTACAGCAGCACAGATTCATGAACAAAATATGTCCAAATGTCTTCATGTGTTTGCATAGAAACTGATACCTGTCATTACACATCGATGGATGAATGAGATTAGGGCCTTAGAGGCAAAATAATACTAAAAACAGCTAAAAAAAACACTTTAATTATCCATAAGTCACAATGAAAGGATGCCCAATTTGTCAAACCAATAATCTTGTTGTCACCTGCCTTAAAGTTATTATATGAGGAAACAGAAAGGGACAAAAGGAAGCGCTGGAAATGATTGAAGGAAGGAGGAGGGAGGCAGGCTAAAAGAGGAAGGGAGGGAACAAGGATGGATGGACAGAAGAAATGAGTAAAGGGAACAAGGATGGAAGGAAAAAAGACAGAAACAATAGCATTAAGGAAAATATAGAAGAAAAGGACAAGAGGAGAGGAAAAGATCAAGAGAACAAGCCAGGACGCTATGAAAGAAGCTGCTCCTTAGAAAAAATAAAGAAGAAAGAGAAGGGAAAGAAGGACGGATGCTTAAGAGATAAAGGAATCAAGCAGAGATGCAAACAGGAAAGATTGGAAGGAACAACACAAGTTAAAGAAAATACAACAAGATGAAGGAAACAAGAGCAGAAGGAAGGAAGAAGGGAATGAAACCTGAAAACACCAAATATGTTTCCCTGCTATATTTTTGCAAAATCTGGAATTACTTCAAACTCCCAATTTTCTTACGCTCTGCAGAAATCCTTTAAGTTATACATTTTAATCTGTTCTGGATATTCAAAATAAAAGAAACAAGTTATAAATTCAAAAAAAAGAGAAAAGTGGACGGTCAGGCTTATAACTTAAATTCAGATTTATTTAGATACCAATTTAATTGACAGATATCTTTGAACTGTTTGATTAAAAATAAGCATTTTACTTTCAATACTAATCTCTAATACTTATCTCTAACATTACAATCAGTGAAACATCAGCAAACAATGTCATAAAAGCAAACATCTAAACGAAAACACCTTAACAGCAATGACTGAAAGCATTTTAATCCGCTGGGAAAAAACATTTACAAAAATATCTTCAATCCCATCTAACAGTGCAGTAAATGACTTTAAAAAGTCTTGGTTTAAATGAGGAAGTTTAGCTTCTGTGTGTTTTTGCAGGTTCCTTATGTGGGTCTATTGCTGCAAGCTGTGTGTGGCAGCGAGCTGATGTGCTGCAGCAGGAGATCACAGTGAAGGGGACTCCTCTGTTTGTCCCTCACAGCCTCAGCCTCCCTCTGCAGGAGGGAAGGGTGAACACGGCTGCCTTTCTTCAGGACTTCTGCACACAAAGAACAAACAGTAAATCTACAGACGCTGCTCATCACCTTTGCTTTACAACACAGTTGGAAGACTAGATTAAATCTTAGATTTAACCCTAGTTTATATGTTCTTACTCGGGCATTTAGGTAAATAAAAGGCTGGGTAACAGGAAGGACTGAAATCAGAAAGGGGAACGTTGCTTGAAGCATTTGATATAAACCCTGATTTTATTTCACTGCATTTTAATTTTCCTTAAAGATACAATTATCATTTCAAAAAATAGAGCATTATTCTATTAACCCTTTACTTTATAGATTATACCCAGGTTGTATGTGCAAACTCACCAGCAGATGGCAGTAAAGAGCCTTTTCCTACTAATAATGTCCCTAATCTTTCCACGGGGAGGCGATAAATCCCTTTCTTTCCCTTTTTCTAACAATCTGTTGATTTTAGGGATTTAATTAAGCCTTCTGATGTGGAAAACTTCACTGATGAAAATGTTAAAGTGCTCCTCCATTACTAACACGCCATCATTTTGAAGGAGCGACGCCATGTGATACTTTCTTTTGTTATTTGGGGGATTTTTATGTTTTCTCTAAGTGCTCCTTAAGATGGGGAGGGGGGGATTCTAAATTAAAGGAGAACAATGGCTGTTTGTGAAAAAGTGATTTAAAGCCGTGCCAACAGTGAGACAAGGAGGAATGAAAGGGAGGACGGGAACGCTGTCCATCATTCTGTCAGGATGCGCTGCAGACAGACATCCAGCCACTTTAGAGACATGCGTTTGAAATACAAGAAGCGTAAGAAAAGGATCGACTATTAACCGAAACAAGCAGAGGGAAACAAAGCAGAACAAAGAGCAGGGAGGGAACAAAGAGAGAGCTTCAAACATCAGGAAGGAATGCTTCCACACTGGGACGCTGTCAGAGCGATGTGGGGTCGGTTCTTCTCACAGACACTCAGAGCTGTCTGTGAACGCACCAAGCTTTATTTCATTAAGTCTGAGCTAACCTGATTTTTACCAGAGAGCATTTATTTGTAATGCTTGAATGCTGTGAATGAAATGTGGCATGTTACATCTTTGTGACATTTGAAAGAGAAGGGTCCAGAGACTCAGCGCCAGTTCTAGTTAATCCTAAGGTCATAAAGAAATGCAGAAACTTTCAGGTTTACAAAAAGGGGATCTGGATCCAAAATCAATAATTTGTCAGAAAACTCTTAGATATATTATTACAGATCGATGCATTAAAGCTGCTTTAACGTTACAGTTAATAAAGTCAGTGCTTTAGATAGTGTTCTGAGTTATTTTGTGAGATTTTAGATGAATTATTGATCAGCTCTGGCAATAATTAAAACAGGCTGGCCTTTCCTGGGAAGGTTTTAGCTTTAAAATAATTTCCAGAGTAATAGAGGTAGATTCGGCTTATTCTTCTAATCCGTTCTTAAATTTCTTAAATCAGATAAATCTTAGCCATCTTTTATTTTCATCGTTTAATATGTTATCAAATTACTTCTTTATTGGTGTCTTTTAAATTCTATAAATCAGTAATTAGTCCTGGGTGTGATTAGTACAACTGAACCTAAATGGTTCATTTTTGATTGGATGAGGGGGTTGCCTTTTTCCTCTTAATATCATGATTTGAAAACCAAGAACAGATTAAACCTTTTACTTAAATTGCAGTCATTTTCCAAACTGAAAAAACAAACAAAGTCCTTAAACTGTAGGTGTTGTTTTAGAAAACAAGCTATGGAAGCCCCTCAGTCATGTGGGTATGATAATATGTTCCCCTCTCAGCTCCGGAGATGAGAGATCTCCTCATGAGGCTCTTTCGGCTCCAGCCAAGCCATCAGCGCATCACCTGCGTCCTGTCAGAACTAACGACAGCTAACATTCCTGATAAGTAAGGGAAGAGCAACGTTTCCTGAGAAGCTGCACACTTTGGGAAAAACTGCTCAGACTTTTCCACCGACGGGGGCCGTAAAGCGGAGCCGTGAAGCCGAGGGCCGCTCCAGAAAACAAGGGCCAGGCGAGGAGGAAGGGATACTGACAGATAAAAGATGGAGGGATTAAGTGGGATGAGCGTGCGGACAGATGTGAGGAGGTGGCAAGGGGTAGAGGGTTCTCATGTGGTTATGATTAAGCTGGTAGCTAAACGTAAGTGTTTCAACAGAAAGTTCTTGTTTTTTGCGCACATTTTTCTAATATTTACATGCAGTTGTTCAGAGAAACCTTTCTGTTGGTAAACTGTTTGCTACTGACCTCTTTTTGCATATCTGACTGAACCTGTAATGATGGATGTAACGTAGCTTGGCAGGAGAAAATGTGGAGAGGAATAAGAGAAAGCTTTGAAATAAGAAAAAAAAAGGTTTGTATTGGCTGTATGCCTGTGGAATAACATGTTTGACAAAGCTCATCCTGAATTCCTCTCATCCCTCTGACAATACGGCCTGCTCTGCAAGGCATCACACCCAAACACTGCGGTCAAACAGCAAATTAAATATCCGAAGGAAAAAAAAACATGTTTTTGGTCATATTTCTTAAAGATATAAATGCAAACCTGCACTTTTTGTTAACCCCCCCAAATAAGGAAGTGATGTCTTCCTCAGGCATCTCCACCTATCAACACCCCCACCCAGTCTCACCCAGCACTCGGTCCTGCACAGAGCTGTCAGGGTCGTCCAGGTGCAGAAGGAGCTGCTGAAAGAGGAGCTGCAGATGGGGAGCACAGAGATCAGGGTTGTAGTCTTTGGTCAGGCTGGACAACCACAGATCCACCGTTTCCAGGGCGATGTTGCGGACCTCCTCGCTACTGTCATCCAGACGCTTCAGTAGCTCTGTAGAGAAAGCTGATTAGTGGCCTGTAGGGCACTTGGTAGAGAAGTCATACTTATCTAATTTTGTTTATATTTTACAGTTGCAGAACTTTAATGTATTTTATTGGGATGAATGTGGCTCCAAGGTACTGATAAAAGATCATTTTATCCAGCTGAGTAGGATCCCATGTCAAAGGGAAGAGGTTGTCTCGCTCTCCAAATGAAGTGTGGAGAGCCGTTAGAAGACAGAGATAACCTCTACCCCTTGACCCTTAGAAAACAAGACACCCACCCAATGTGGCCAGATGTGCAAATGAGTCTGAGATCTAAGAGCCTCCTACCGGGATAAATCTTGTTTAAAGCCTCGTGGTGCAAACTGGTTCCGATGAGCTTGAGTGTGGCGGAAAGACAGCGACAAGCCAGCAGTCTGCTCATCTGAGAGTTCTCATCCAGGGCCGACAAAACCAGGGGGCTCAGCTTCACCTCCAGACTCAGAAGCTGCACAAAGACATCCGCTGAGAGTCAATGAGGGATAAACCTCATGTTTGATTTAAATGAGTTTTTTAGCTTTCAAAGTTCAGCCGTGCAACTTAGTGGACTAGAGGGTCTCTATGTGTGGAGGAGAGGAAGCAAGAAAAGGGGAGTAAAAGAGAGGAGAAAAGAAAGAAAGAAAGAGGATTAGATAGAAAGTAAGATTGATAGAAAGAAATAATAGATGGATAGAAAGAAACAGCAAGAAAAGGTGAGTAAAAGAGAAGAGATAAGAGAGAAAGAAAGATGGATAGAAAGAAAGAAAGATGGAAATTAAGATGGATAGAAAGAAATAACAGGAAGAAAGATGGATAGAAAGAAACACAGCAAGAAAATGTGAGTAAAAGAGAAGAGATAAGAAAGAAAGAATGAAAGAAAGATGGTAGAAAGAAATAACAGAAAGAAAGATGGACAGAAAGAAAGATTGATAGAAAGATGGATAGTAACAAAAAAAGAAGGATAGAAAGAAGGATGGATAGTAAGAAAGAAAGGACAGAAAGATAGATGGATGGAAAAAAAGAAATAAAAAAAAGAAGGGGAAGGAGAGAGGGGGAGAGAAAGGAAAGGAGAGGCGATGAAGGAACAAAAGAAATAAAGAATGGAGAAACTTTATACAAATATGTTCTACAAAAATTCTACAAATAATATTTTTTGCATAGTCTTATTTTTATTTTCCAGGGAGGCCAAACTGCTGAAATCACAGAAAGGAGCAGAAACAGCCGTCCAGTCACCGTTTTAATCTCCCTCTTAGTGAGAAACAGAAGTAATGGACAAACAAGGTGAGGCTGTGTGAAACCAGCCAACAGCTGAGAGGTGATTACTTAAACCTCTGTCACCTTGTGTGTTTGCTATCGAAACCAGGCAGGCTAAAGTATAAAAAACCAGCCACGGTGGAGACAAGAGGAGGAAAAGTTGACAGATGTTTGATCTGCCATTACATCAGTGAAAACCTGAGAGTATTAAAGCGTAAGTGGAGCTGTAAAGTGTTTTCACAGGGAGTAACAGAGGAAACAATGTTCTGCTAAAAGAAAAGCAGCTTGATTCACCTGTAGAAACACCCACACAGCTCCGTGCTTACATCTCTAAGGACGTGTTATTTACCTCAGCTCTAGGATCCGGTTTAAAATGATCCAGCCTTACTTTAATCTCCACTCTTTAAGCTTACTAATCTCGTGAGGACATTCAGGTGACACTCGATAGCAGAGGTTGGATAAAATACACCTACGGCCATGCTCTCATTGTCCCCCGGGTCTTTGCACCAACTTACAGTGAAGGTGTCACTAAAAGTTTGGACTGATGAGTCAGAATGCAGAAGAAGGAGCGAGTGCAGCCAGATGTACATGTGTTCGTGCGAGACTTCATAGTGTAACCCAGCACCTAATCCGGCAGGCAGGTGTGAGGCCAAGTTCTGGCGATAGTTCCTATGGTTGACCAAAGCTCAGAACAGAGTCGCCATTGTTCCTTTGGGACAGGTATGTGAACTCGCTTGCCCCCTCATACACCTGCTACCTGCTGTGGCCAACTGCCTGAGCCAAGAGGGATAGATGTTTGGATAGTAAATTTTCCTGCTCATGTAGGATGCCTTGCACTGATGAAAAACAGATTCAGCAAAACATCTGAGGGATTTACAGAAAGCATCTTTCATTACATCAGCATTAGTAAAAATCGTTTAAGATTGCCAAGGAAAGATCCCGCAACTGATGTTTCTCCAACATGTCTGGTATTAACATTATGGATTAAGATATGTCTCTCCTGCAGTGTCTGCCCACCTGTCCAGGTGTAATGGCTCCTCCATGCAGCAAGGCCAGCAGGCAGCTGAGGGCCGAGGTTCTGACGGCTGCAGCAGTGCGGCCCGCGTGCCACACCAGGTTAGGGAGCAGAACGTCACTCAGAAACCTCTCCGCCTCATCACAGAAATGCCTGGGGTAAGAAAACATTTGTTTTGTTTTTGTGACAGGACAACACAAAGTAGCTCAATGAAGCAATACGTTAAAAACAGGGAAGCTGCAAAAGACTTGAGGCTATGAAAAAAAAGAAAATCATATTTGAATATGCAAAGTCAGCCAAGATCCTGAAAAATTTAATCAAAGTCCTGTATGTGTGTAAAAGCTCCCAGCAGCAGGTAGTTGCACGAATGTACTGCTGCTACATAGCTGAGTTCATTCAGTTATTTTCCCACACTCTAAAAGGCCGACTGGTGGGGAAAGTAGGAAAAAACAGAAAGAGAGAAACATCTGGGTTTCCTTCTCTTTCCCTTTTCCATGCTGGCTTAAACCCTCTGACATCAAACTATCTGCACCTGCAGTCTCTCCGTCTCCCAACCAGCGTTTCCTCCATGTTTGAGATCTTCAGCTGGACTGAGAATCCTACTGCAAAAAGAATCCATCTAATCAAATCTTATAATCTTATATTTATCTCTCTTTTTTAAAAATTTATCTCTCTTATGAGATAGATATACAAAGGAGCAGATGACTATTTTTTGAAAAATATCTATTAAAAAATACATGAAATAATTTTCTAAGGCAGTGAGGCACTTCCACTGAATAAGAATTCTTAAAATCATAATATATATCCTCATGCTTATTTTTGAGTAGATAAAAAAAGAAAAGATATGAGAACGATTTGTAAGGTTAGGTTAGATCATCACTTTTTGCAGTGTAACCTACATTGCAGGGACTCCACCACCAGCAGGGGGAGACTGTGCTTCAATAATAGATCCACAGCTTTACCAGCCAAGTTTCTTCAACATGCAAGAAGTTGGCAGCTTTTCAGAGATGGAACTAAAGGTTAAAAAAAAGATGTTTCCAACTGCAAACACTATCTGAGGAGAGGAAGAGCATGAATTGACTTTCTAACTGCATATATGCCAAATATGCAAAGGCCTTGGATTTCCAACGATTCCTATTACACCATTCTGTACGACAATAAAAAAAAAAATAAAAAAATAAATATTTGTAAGTAAATTTTTCTTGAAATAAGTTTATTTCCCCTTGTTCTGAGCAGGTTAGACAATTTGCCAATATAATACAATGATCTATTTACATTTAAAATAAAAAAAATTCATTATCTTTTTAAATGCATTAGACTTAAATAAAGGGGAGTGACGAAATAGTGGTTAGGGCGTGGATCTTGAGGTTGTGAGTTTGAGACCCACTCCCACAGAATGCCACTCTGAGTAAAAAGCCTAAACCCCTGATTGCTCCCCAGGCGCCCCACAATGGCAGCCCACTGCTCCCCAAGGGAATGGGTTAAATGCAGGGGTAAATTTCTTCAATGTTACATAAATAATATGTCAATGGCAATAATTCTCATCCCTTTTGAAGATCATCTTATTTCGTTGATCAATCTATGAGAAATTTTTAAATACCTTGACTAATATTTAGACAAGGTATCTAGTCAGTCTTTTTGTGTCTTTATTACATTTTCTATTTCGAACAGGTAATTTCATTGCAATAAAGCATCCATCCATCCATCCATCCATCCATCCATCCATCCATCCATCCATCCATCCATCCATCCATCCATCCATCCATCCATCCATCCATCATGTAGACCAGCAGAACACTGGATAAGTTTGCCCGACAGACTGCACACTGAAAGTGAGGAGAGGCGCTATGGCTGGTTGAGAGGAGGACAGCAGTACAGAAAAGCCCGCCTGGGAGACACAGGCTAACTGATGGAGGTGTATCTCAATGCAGTCTGCAGGGCAGAAATCCCCGGAGCAGCGGCATCAGCTGGTCGGTGTCAGCGCTGGAGGTAGGAGATGACACGGTCCTTCTAGGGTTAAATTAAAACAGCTTTTTTAAAAGCCAATCAGAAACCTCTTAAGATCATTCTGCGCTTCAACCTTTGACAACTATATTTTCTCCATCATAAGTTTTGATTAACAAAATGGCATGGCGCTGCCTAATTCTGTCCTATGGTTTTGTAATTAGCATATTTATTATTCTGTTTTAAAAGCTAATCATACCTGATAAGGGAAAAGGATAGTTAACTGAGCTCAACTTAATTCCCTATTTACAATTTCAGGTTTAATGATGTTTTTGGAAAAAAAGCTTTGTGTCCATCTGTTATGGTGGCATGTATCAAATGCACGTGCATACGCAAATATGGAGCGAGGGATGTCCCGATTCCTAGGGAAGATTACGAGCCCTAAACGTTGTGGCTTCAGTTCCAGGGTGTGTGGGTAGTTTGGGCCTTTCACTGGGCAATTTTTACTATTTATATGCTTTCATTTAAAATAGAGTCATTTATAGGTGATTCCATCCATATAGCTTCCATTTCCTAACATCCCCCACCATGATGCTGCCAGCACAGCAAAGATGGGGAATGTTTTAGTATCACTGCTTTTTATTTTTATTTTATAAAAAAACTACTGGGGATTGCACACCCCTGTAAATTCTAACTTCTGCAGCCGGAGTACCAATGTGCACACCGCACTTTGCAGATAATCAGTGGTTCAAGTCTTTGACTTAAATACGGGGGACCTGGGGTCAAATCTCTGTTGCATCAGGAGGGGCATTAAGCATAAAAACGACCACGAGCACCGTCTCATGTGACTTTAACCTACAATTCCTATTGGTGCAGAAATCTTTCCTACCTAACTTAGCATCGTAACCGCAATTAGATATTTATATTTTTTAAACCTGACAACATTTATTGTTGACAGGTTATCTGGATAAAAACATCTAATTTTGAAGAAAGGTAGCTGTAACCTTTAAGGTTTTTTCCTCTTCAAGCTGATGAGGGCGAGTTTTATACTCAGCAAATTTCTTGGATGTTACAGATTATAGTCATTATAGATAAATGCACAATTTGAACTGCTTTGTTATCTCGTGTTTCATGAAGAAATCCATGTTTGAAATATACCTTTCTTTCTTGTGGTGAATCCCCAAGCTTGAAATTAAAGAAGCTTCATTTAGTTGTCTTTCAAGCCTGAAAGTACACTCTCTTCTCTTCACTTATTTTGGTTTGCCACATCCAGGGGGGGAAAAAGGGTATAAACTTTCGTTTCTTGTACTTAACTTTCACATTCGTCTTTTTGATCATGACCCACATGAAAAACAACATTACGAGAGCGTGCGGATGAAAGGACGTTCCATAACTTTTGCTTTCAGGTCCTTCTATGCAGAGGTGTCATTATGTCATTTTGGGAGCAAAACAAAGAGCCAAAGTTTTCTCTATGACTATTATTGTGCTCTTGATGATATGCGGCGCACGTGTGGCCCAGCAATCCGCTCAACAAAGATCGAATCGTAAACCCTGAATGGAGGGCTGAGAATGAATGGAGATGTTATGACAGGCCACACACCTCTGAACACTGACTTATGCATTTGCTTAAAACCTCTTTGGAAGGTATAACATGAGTTTCTGATCCTTGGTGGTTATGTGATTAGCAGAGGTATATCTGAGGAATGGGCGAGATCCCTGTTAACAGTGCAGGTGGCTAAGCAGGGAAAGCACAAAGGACACAGACCTCTTTTGTTTTACATTAAAAGAAAATCAAAAGAAGGAGGAATTTTTCTTTTTTGGCGGGTTTTTAGGTCCTTTTGTTGCTGAAGTGATAATGATATTCTCTCTTCTTGGATTCCTCTCGCTATGTTTCATTGTGCTTCTAATATAACACTTTTAACCAGCAGAAACAAACATTTTTGGCTGAAGCTTTAGGGGTTTGCCACACACTGCACTGATTGTCCTTTGGATGGACAGGAGCAGCTGTTATGAGTGCCGGGGCCCAAAGAGGGCCCCCATGTTTAAAGCATTCTTTCAGCATGCGGCTCCACGTCCAAGCTGGCTGCCGCTCAGCTGGAGACTCAGAGTAGAAAGGAGGGCAGGGGGAATCCTGCTGAACCAGCTCCCAAATACGTCAATAACCATTAAATCGCTGTTATTCATCTAAATAAGTGCTGAGAAGACTGACTTCTAAACGCATGCAACCCTTCACTCTCTATCCAGCTTTGTATTTTGCTGGGACTTTATTTGATTAAAACAAAGAACATAGTGTGTAATCAATAGGAAAGAATAGGGAGGTACGGCTTTTGAAAATACTAATAAAATCAGTGTTGCTGTCTATCGGTTTTTAATATCAAGGGATGGAAATTCCCTCAGAGTCTTAAGCAGCTTTAGGTCTGGACTTTGACTAGGCCATTTTAACAAGAAAATACATTTTGACTAAACTATGCTCTGCAGCTCTGGCTGTGGGAAGATCATGATCCCACCTGAGCAGTGGATCATTGCTGTACCTCCAGAGTTACCCATTGGTTAGTTTAAGTGGACAGTCATGTCTTTATAGGGTTCATAGGTTTTTTATTCTTCGATTTTCAATTAACATATTAACTAGAGCTTTGTGAGATCTTAAAAGCTTGAGATATTATTTTATAATCAACTCTTCTTCACCAAAAACCGTCGCCCTCATATGTCTGCTGTTCTCCTGGGTCGCCATGATGCTGTTTGTTCACTTATATTCTCTAATAAAGACCTTACATATCACAAAAAAAAAAATTACTAAAAAGGCCAAAGTTGATCAGGATAAATGATAAGCTGCTGAAATAATTAGAATCACCCTAAATAACCAGAGAGGGTCACACAGTTGGCTGAGGCAGGTGAAGTTATTGCCTGTGAAACGTCTCTCTCACCCCTGGGAGTCCAGTGTGTTTTTTGCGTCCAGCAGCAGTTTGGCGAGCATTGTGAAAACACTCATCCTCATTTCAGTGTCTCTGTTTGGCTGAAGGCAGCTATGAAGAAGAGGCATCAGCTGGTTCAAAAACTCCCCAGGAACTGGACCTATAACACAGAAATGTAGACGGAAAGTAGTGGGTGATATTTTTTCCAACTCTGTCTTCAGACTTCTGTATTTTGGTCAAAGAGAAAAATGCTCTAATGAAAACCTAGAAAAAGTAACAGTTTACTTGAAGAAAATAAATGAAACATCTGAGCTCATCCAGCCCTAATATTCAACATTCCATTTCCCCTTCCCTGGACTTTATGCAGCAGCACAATCAGGCAATGACACCAAAGACTCATAGGCTTCCCTCACACATTCAATGTCAGAATTACACAGAGATCTCAGTCATTTTAATCCACTTTTAAATACATTAACATCATTACAGATATTTCATCAGCAGGAACACTTCAAATTGGCTTCTCTACAGTCCCCTTAGGTGTGAGTGTGTGCGTGAATGGTTGTATGTCCTGTGTGTCTCTGTGTTGCCCTGCGATGGACTGGCGACCTGTCTAGGGTGTACCTCGCCTCTCGCCCATTGGAGATAGGCACCAGGAGATAGGAGATAGGCACCAGCACCCCTCGAAACCCAATCGGGACAAGTTTGTCAGATAATGTATGGATCGATTCATCTGGACACTTAGTTTCTGAGAAAAATCCTCTTTTATACCTTTAAAGTGAAATTAATTCAATACAGTTGATTATTTTTTATGAATTTTCCCCCATAACTGATGAAAGTAATCTGTTAACAAGCTGCATAACATCCTTGCATCACTTAATCACACTAAACCCAACATTTTCTCACACAAAGTGTATTTTCTAACACTTTGTCAAAAGTCATATTATGTTTCTTTCTAAATGACTAATTCTCTAACCATCCTTTACTGCTGTTCATGTTCAAATGGAGGAAAAACACAACAAATGTCCCTGTGAATTATGAGTCAGTGAGACGAGTCAACTCAATCACAGTAAATCTCACAGAAAATATAACCAGTATAACTCAACCATTTTTTATTTATTTTCTACATGAATAAGTGACCAAATGACACATAGACTAAAACCCATTCCACCACTATTTAGAAACACTAATCCGTCTTCAGCAGACCGGTGAGACAGTGACAAAGTGTGACGAGGAAATGACCGTTTAGTGTTTTTCTAAAACAAACACCTTTTACAGGAAAAGTAACTCAAACTGAAAGTATTTCCAGGTCCACTCATGGCCACACACTTATCTAACAGCAGTCCAGGGACGTGCTTACACAGCTATATATAGTGACCAGAGTGTTTATAGTCGGCGATAAGTGCCAGTGGCCTGTTTGGGCTGAGCGGTGAGATTGGGGAAATCCTGACACCACCTGAGGATGTGAACCAGCTTCATAAAGGGATCAAAGGACAAAAGGGAAGAAACACGACAGGACACCCTGCTAATTTAGAGGAATGAGTTAACTAAAGGTGACGGTAATTAAACAGAGATGTTTGAGGGACTTTTGCACGAGTAACTGCTGGTACAGGAAAATACGAAGTAAGGAAAAGGCTGTTTTACAACCTGAAAGACAGTCAGCCATCGGTTGGAAACAAAGGACTGAGAACATGACACAGTAAAATCTTTCCACTCCAACTCCTTGAATAATATCCTAATTAACTTAATGTCATTTCTAACCTTTAAAAGGTATAAATTCAGTCTAAAAAATGTTATATACTTAAAATGATAGAACTTTTATTTGGCTAGTGCCCAGTCCAATCAGTGTAATGAATGACTGCTGTTGTTCAATTAATTATTGTAGTACATGTTGTCCGTAAAATTAATTCAAATGGTCTCCTGAACTGAAATGAATTGATATTGAGCTTATCCCAGTATGCAACTTTGCAAGGCGAGAACAGAGCTTTGCATGAGCCACGGGCCTGAGGGGTAAAAACATTTCTAAAACGTATGATGCCAATTGGGATTTATCACAACAAGAATCGTATTTATGCCCACAAATTTTAATCTTCAAAATAAAGCTTAGAAACTGATGAAATTAGATAGGTTCTTTCAGGAAAACAAAATATGATTTAGACTTTTAGACTTTAAAAACAAATGCAGAAATGACCAATTTAGACTTAGGTCTAACAGTGGATAAAAAACACACCTTAAAAGGATAAACAGATAAGCTTTTCATGATTAACTAAACCATAAAGGACTAAAATGAAGACAACATTTTTTTATGTAAATAAATAACTTTGATCAAAAAGGACAAACTGATACTCAGTCAAGCTCAATTATGCGAAGAAAAATAGCAAAAAAAAGAAAGGAAAAAATTATAATGATACCTAAGGTTGATACTTGATCCGAAAACCTACAACTTAATTAAGAAAATAAGCTGATCTTTTTAAATCTATGAATAACAAGACATTCAATGGGTTCTGGGTTCAATTTAATGAAACCTGATTAAAACCATACAACAATTAGGATATGGAAAGTAAAAGGTTTCTAAAAACATTTCAGGAAGAATGGCTTCCGAAAAAATAACTGAAATAGAATAACATATTACAGCTACGGCTCACAGCGCCACAAGATTTTTATCATAAACATAGTGGAACATTTTCCACCTGGTTCTGACTTTTATCTGAATGTTATCTAAAGTACCGGTACCTAAAATATGATCTAAAAGTGTGCAGTGAAATTGTGTTCAATCAACCATATTAGCACACCTACAAACCTTTCTAAAGGAAACCCAAATTACAATGTTTTGGCCTTCAACAAAAACACACCTAGAAACCGTCACCCCAAATACAGCATCCTCATTTGGAGACATGGTAGTGGCAGAATCATGCTGTGGGGATGTTTTTCTTTAAGAATGGTCAGGAAAACTGGTCAGAATTGATAAGAAAATGGATGTAACTGAATGCAAAAAAAAAAAAAAAAGAAACCCTAGTCACATGATAATTTAATATTATTAATTGTCAAGAAGGGGTTGAATACAGACACATGGCATCTTATTTTAAAAGTTTATATCATTTTCACTTCACAAATATGATGGACTTTTTCTCATTTCAAAATGATAATATGACTAAATTACTTGAATTTAAAATGAAGAAATTCTCCAAGTCTCCAACTGTATTTTTTTAAGTGTAACTTCTGTTCTCTTGTCTGGTAATATCTCACCTGATTGCATGAGAATGATATGTAGTTGGAGTCTCTGAGGGGAATAGCTGGACCAGGTGTTGACTGAGGCAGACAACCAGTCCAGCAGCTGGCCCATGTGCTGCCTATAGAGTTCGATGGAGTCCAAGCCCTGCACTTTACTCAAAAGATGTACACTCTCCAACGCCTGTGACAAACAAATAACAGAACAAAGAGGAAAACAATTAGTTTCAAAGATGCATACCACTCCTAAAAACACCAATTATTTGGTAAAGAATAAAACAAAAGAAAACACAACTCTAAGGTCAACAATTATTGACCATAATCTATTGATTTTGAAAGTCTGAATTTCCTTGGATCATCAATAAACTCATGGAAGGAACAAACATGCATACACCATACAGACCTGGTCTAACACAGCAAACCATTCAAACCAATGGGAGTTTGCAAAAATACAAGAACTGTACGAGGAAACATTCAGATTATATTAAGCAGTAAACCGAGAGAAAGAAATGGCATGGCAACACAAAGAAACCTCTAGAGAAATTCCTGGCTACAGCTGCTTGGTGGATCCCACACTGCACCAAAATAAAGGATTAGTTGCCAAGTTAGACCCAGAATGCATCAGCCTTGTGAATTACATCTTGTTAGAATTCATCAACACATTTATAGCAATGTGTATGCCATCATTAGGTAAGATACCAATAATAAAATACTTGCCAACACAACATTTACAACCGCTACTGCTGTTAATATTGCGCAATGCATACGCTGGCCCCGCCCCTAGAGACCAAAAACCAGCTCATGTTCAGGGCAGGAGGAACTGACCTTTAGAGCATTTCGTCGTTCTCTTTGTTGTTCCTCTGGGATGGAGAGCGACAGTAAGGCCGTCTGAGTCACTGTCTAACCTCCTCTGCAGAAAGCTGGACAACCCTGAGCTGTCCGCTGATGGGAAAGACATCAACCCATTTCTGGGAAAAACAAGTCCTGCTTTTCCTCTGGGTCCAGGAATGCCCAAGGCCAATTCTCACCCTCCCTCTGTTTCCTAATCCATTCCTTCCCATCTCATCTTTAATAATGTTCTTCTCTGTGTGAACATACAGACAGACGTAAACACACAGTCACGCTGGTGGCCGGTGCGGTGTCTGCTCTGCATCTGTGCCAGCTTCTTCCCACTTCCCTCCCCTGTCATTAGCCTACATCGGCGACAAGCAGCTGGACGACATGTTGCCCTCAGACACCAGTGGCTTCACTTTTCGCAGCTCCTGTTGGGCCCCTTGGGTTTGGTGACTGACCACTTGACAAACCCTTAATACCTAGCAATGACTTGGGTTTCATAAACCAAGTTATGAAAGCAAACTGGGCTCAACAGATGACACAAACCTGCTGAGAAATACCACTCATCTCTCCCCATCTGTTTTCCCTCTATTCCTGTCAGTCTCATTTCTTTCTGCACACTTCATCCGCCTCCTTTCACCCAAGACTGGTTTTAAAGTCCCACTCCAAAGGTGCAATTTCAGCCTCCCTAGCTGAGTGGGTAATTATACAGTTGGTGGTGCTCACTTTGAAACTGTACAAATGCTTACATTCCTTGAATAGCTCTCGCTACATAAAACCAACTTACCTTTCTAATAAAAAGTGGGGAAAAAATGAGAGAAAGGAGCATCTTTAGAGGAAAATTTTAGTTCTAATGCGGTACTTTTTCTACCTTGTAAGTAGGAATAATATAAGTTCTAATGCTGTATCTTTAGTTAGCTGCATTTTCTCACCTTTGCACTGAGCTGTGGATCATTGGACAGGCTCTGGATGGTGACCAGAACCTGCAGCAGCTGCAGGCTAATTAGGCCACAGTCGGCCTCACACTGATAGAGCAGCACATCCACGCAAGCCAGCAGCTGCTCCAAGTACATGACCTGAAACAGAAAAAGATACAAGCAATTCAGAAGAACTGTACCTTGAGGTTTCAGAGACCTGTTGATTTTTAAAGGTACATCTAGATGACATATATTATACTAGTTGGTTTCATACTGAGGGATGTATGCTAAGCCTTTAGATCTGTTGATTTCTTCAGCTTTTGTGCACAAGACGGTTCACCACACCCTTTACAAGGAGGATAAGTCATATAAACTAAAGAAGCAAGGTGTTGTATTCCTGCAAATTAATGGAAAATTGAGTGGAAGGAGAACGTTAGTAAAAGTGCACAAGCAACAAGGATCAGAATCTTGTTAATCTAAAATGAATTTATTTCATTTTTCTATATTGACTTTTACTTTCTATTTGATCTAAATTACTGAACTGAGTTTCTGTTTGGCAGTAAGGAAAAATTACTTTAAATACATAAATGTATGGCTAATGAAATCGTAAAATTAGCTTTACCATTTTATTATATTTTCTAATAAAATCAACATTTCAATTATTGAATATAATGAGATGCTTAAAGTTTGTTAAAACATTGACAACCCAACGAAGTTATGCAGCAGATGCTATTTAAGGATTTTCCATAAACTCATGCTAAAGGCTTCTTATTTCATTTGTAATGTGCTTATTTTTTTTTTATTTTATTGTTATGCATGATTCTCTTTTTGTACCGGTTATTCTAGTTTCTGCTGTGCTGCGTTAGTACCTAAGCCTCTCTTCAAAGTTCAAATTTTTGACCAAGTTTCCCAATATAATGCCTCGGCTTGTTTTTGATCCCTGTAAGTTTTAATTGGGCAGTTTCCATTAAGAACTGGCAGCATCCTTCCAAATATCTTTACATGGAGAGTTTATTTTCCTGGTCTGCAAAGTTGTAAACCCCTTTCTGGCTTTGGTATAGATTATATTTTACCAGCTTTCCAAAAAAACACACGATCAATTAGACAAACAGCAGCCCTCCGCCTCCCTCCTGTAAAAATAGCAGAGTCTGAGAATGTGTGATTGCCATCACTTGTCCACTGCATTGCGATGAGGTCATGTTTAGACAAAGAGCTGCAGCTCAGGCTAATTTCCATGCCATCACTGGGATCAAGACCTCTTTTCCTGTTTTTACATGGCCTGTCATTTGGGGCTTCAAGGGGGAGAGAACTGATCGTCAGTGAAGGTCCATGCGAGTTTTAGAATAAGGAAATATAGTTTTTATTGTGTGCGAGAGGGCTCCGACGTATTCTGCCCTCCGGGTGAGAATTTAGATCATCGATTAAAAGCAAATACTTTCCGAAGTGTTTTATGAGTCAGATTGGGGAATCCTAGGGTATGAATCAGCTTTTCACCAGCTTAAAAAGGGAACAAACGGAAAGCTGCTGAAAAACAACCGCTGACACATCCAGTACCATGAAAAAGTCATACCTTTTTTAATGTTGTTTGTTTTTGTTGTTGTTACCATTTAACCAAAAGCCTCATTCACTTTATTGCAAACTTTATGTGATAAACCAACACAAAGTAGTGCATCAATGAGAGCTGGAAGAAAAAAAGAAAAAAAAAATATTTCATGATTATTTAGATAAATATACATCTTTAGTAGGCAATGGAAACTCTAGAGGAGCTGCAGAGATCTTAAACAGGTGGGAAGATCTATTGACTGTGCATGCATTCTACAAATCTGGCTTTCATGGAAAAAATGGTAGAAAAAGAAAAAGTTTTGTTTGCAGTTTTTAACAAACCTTTTAGGAGATAAAGAACCATAAGGAGATTTGATGAAACAGTGGTTTAAATTCAAAACGCCATATGTGGGGATTACCTGACTCCCTGCACCCACCTTCCCTACCATAAAACACAGGGGTGGAAGCATTGTGTTGTGGAGAACTTTCCTTAAAGGATGGCCCTAAATACAGGTAACACTAGAAAGGTCCAATCAAACCCTGGGTGCATAGATATAATTCATAATCTGTAACAAACCCTGCTAATTGATGCTTACAGACACCTTTCCTAAACAAAGATGGTTTAAGACTATTTGTGCAGAGCTAGTAGAAATATCGCCCAAAGCCTTGCAGCAGCTATTACTGAAAAAAATGTGGTCATTAATGGTTTAGCCTTTTTTTTTACCTATAATAAAAAAAACTTCGCACTTCATTTAAAAACATTCCATTCAAAACAGATAAGTTTAATGTGAAAAAACATAATCAATTGGAATGAACACTTAAAACAAGGTTTACATAAAAACACGCAGGTTATACGTGTGCAGAAAACCCTGACTGGGGTTGGACAGGGGTAAGAAAAACCGAGAGCGGAAAAACTGCTGCGGTGTAATAACTAGTTGAACACCTGGAGGCAGGTGATATACACCTGGTTATATTGTAATAGGCATGCTCCAGGGGACTCATTACACCATGTGGCGCATCTGTCCACCACTGTATAGTACATCGCTTACATGGAGGCAATTCTTCTTCAAGGAGCCTTAGCAGGCGATGAATTTCCATCCAGCGGGGAGTTAACCCCATGCTGCCAGTGATACTGCTATGGAAACAGGGAAACAAACACCAGGAGTGTATGTGAGTGTGCCTAGACCCTCTTGCAGTTGGATATCTCCTTTTTGGTGCTCAGTGTGAACAGCATCCAGCTGGTAATGATAACAACAGAAGGTGTGCTTATGGTGGAAACAAGTTTTTCCCATAAAATAATTTATTTTTGGGGGAAAATTTAGATTTTTGACAAAGCAGACGGCTCCCTGCAGTGGGATAACAAATTCTTCAATTACAAATATTCAGTTAAAAGTACCGGATGTTTATTGATTTATTAAATATACAGCTTGAACCTTCCTCCATTTTGTTATGTTAAAATCTAGTCAGTGTGTTTGATATTATGTGAAAGATGGAGAAACACAGACGGGTGAATAGGTATAAAAAAAAAAAACAGCTGAACTGGCATGGTTCTAACAAAAGCATAAATGTGCATTTGTATTAAGCCTCCTGTACTCTAATACCCAAAATAAAATTTTGTAAAAAATGTGAAACTTTAAATTTGTCGCCTGTGCTGCTCAAACGAATTGCCCCCGGTGGGATATATAAAGTGGACTAAATCTAAAATTGCTTTATAATTGCAAAGTCGGACCTGTGACTTAAATCTGCAAAGGGGGAGTTAAACATTAGCGTGACGTTTTTAACCCTTTATAGGGCAAGTTACCGTTTTTGATATCTTGCATACCCCTTAGAAATGGAGCCCCCCACTTTTGTTATTTTTCTTTATATATTCGAGCAAGTTGGCATTTCTTGTTGTTACATTGACATTAATTTTTGCCATAAAAATATCCATATATTTTTTATGTATCTAAAAATTGGTGAAAATGTCTTAAAATAACTGTCTTTACCCTTAATTTGAGTAGGTAAATAAGAAAATCTCCCAGTGGAAGGAGCATTTTTATCCATAAAATCTGATTATTTGATATTATGCACTTGAAATAGGAGACTGCATTTTTTTCCTTATTTTAATTGTAAATTTTCTTATTCCATTTGCAGTGTGTCTCACTTACCTGCTCAATTCAAGAAAAAATGCACTTATTTTAAGAAAAAATGACGCACTTGGATTTCACTTTTTTTTCAGTGCACTCTTTGCTTGAAAATTTGAAATTTAAAGTCTTATACTGAGTGCCCTATAAAGGGTTAAGAGGGTTTAATTGTTTAATGCTAATAATGATTTCCATCTACTATTAAGCCAAAGAGTAATAATTTTGGAAATCCCATTCTTATTTTAACATAAAAATAAAATAATAATAATAAAAATAGAAAAGTTTTTTTATACTGATAACAGCTTGGGCTTAGCATCACACTCTCACAGTGTATGGTGATGGCAGCATCATGCTGTGGTGAGGGTTTTCCTATCAGACCTGACAGATGCAGAGAGATGGATTCAGTTAAAAGGAAAATAATTGCTTTAAAACATTTTTATATAAAGAAAATCCATAAAAGTATATACTTAGCTCCCCTGTACAGTGATGCCCCTAAATACAAGCCAGTTATTTTAATTTCTTCCCATTTACTAATTCTTTAAGAAGTAGAAAATCGCAGGATTTTATTTATGGATATGCATCCAAAACACTTTTTTTTTTGGTATGAAATTGTAAAAACAATCGATTTAAACTTTATTCTGTTTTTGTCATCTAGTATCCGGGTAAAATGCATTGAAGTTTGTGATTGTAACGTGAAAAAATTTGGAAAAAGAGGCATTCATTCAACCTCCAAACCCCATTGCTCAGTAGAACAACGCTCAAAAGCTGAGCTCTAATGATTTGTAAAAAACAGATGCTGCACATGCTGTAAATTTGGAGGTTGCCGTTCTTTGCCCTCAATTTATGACCGATATTTTTAATTCCCGCTGCGCATCCTGCCGTCTATTTTTGTACGCCGTCTCTTCCTCTTACCAGAAATACAGAGAAGAAAACAGAGTTGAAAGAGCTGACTCCGAGCAGACACCTTGTATATTAGCTTTTTTCTTTTTTTTTGGCCTCAGCTCCCAGCCGGACCTCGAGGCTCCCGCTACCTCTGCTCACTTTGAAGGTTATTTATGTCTGATTTCTAAACAGACATTCGTTTCCATCCAAGTCAAACATCGTGTCACTGTACTTTCTCTTTGCCTGCTGTTTCAAGTGGCACGTAATTCTATCAGGTTAAATCCAAACACTTTTTATATCTTAGCAATCAAAAACAAAATAAAAAGTGGAGTCTCCAAAATTAGAGTTGTCATGTTGTGCCTGTTGGTGAATAAATGTAATAAAATATAAATCAGTCTGAGGATATCTGCACTCTAAAGACAAATAAAAGGCAAAAACATAATGTCCATCTGTCTAGAAAGTTCTTATTTACAGATAAAGGTCTGAACAATGCCTGCTATGAAAGGAATGTCGCAGGTGGTTTATCTAAACTCAGACCTCTTCAGGGACAGCGCTCACTTCGCTTTGTGCTTTAAAACAAAAACAGCGACAGAGAAAGATAGATGGAGAAGGAGACGAAGAGGAAGCAGAGGTCTGGTCACATCTGTGTGGCAGCGCGTGACTCTGCCGTCCTGTTAATTCTCCCTGCGCTCGACCCCCGCCGGGCAGCGATGGGGGTGGATCGGAGGTCGATTTCCCCTCCTCGTTTATCACCGGCCTTGACCGTGTAAGGCTTTAAAACTTTCTGCCACAGCTGAACTGCAGCTATAAGGCTGCCGTGTGCCGCCTCGTCTGCCCTGTGGGGGTCAGGTCGGCCACTACGGGGGTCACGTCAAATAAGCAGATTTTTGCCGTCATGATCTCACAGGGGACGGTTTTAAAGCCTAGCCTGAGGAGGAGGAGTGGGGGGTTTTGTTGGAGGAGTTTTTAAAAAAAAGCAAGACCCTGCATTTGCAGATGATAGACATGCGTGAGAACAGCAACGGTCTGATCAAAGACCTGAAATATTAGACATGAAAAATATCACATGAGCTGGCAAGCATTTTACCAGAGTTGGCATTTTTTTAAGGACAACTCCAAAGCAAACCCGATGAACCAACTGCTGTTCTTGGATTGTCTAAAGATCCTTTTAGAGCCTCTAATGTTATCCAACTTATCAAAGACAACATTTTAACATGTCTGTCCATCCAGCGACAACTGAAGGCTTAAAAATGTCAGAGATGAGAAAGAGCTAATGCACAGTTTGATGCTGGGAGACAAAGCTCCATTTAATTCCGTCCATCACTAGCAAAAATATCATCTAAATATTAGGCTTTTAATCTGTTCTTTTATCAGAATAAAATTAATTTATAAGACACAACCTTGTTTATTTCAAAACAATAATAAGACGCACAAATATGTTTTCTCTAATCGAATGGATCAAATGAATACAGAAACCATCAATAACAGCTTTGTTCAAGTTTGGAGTAACTGAAGCAGGTTCTGACATAATAGATCGGTTCTAACCGTCTGATCCGAACTGGTAAAGCTGATTAAAACGGTCTGGTTTCCCGGAACAAACTTCTAAATGGTTTCATCGTCCTTTCAGAACATCTGAGAAACTTTCCGCCATCTTGCTTGTGATCAGATTGGTAAAAATTATGACCTTCATGGAATTCTGTTTTATAAAGCACTGTTATCACTAGCAGCATAAACGACCCTTAGCATGCTGTTGCTACTTCCATGCTTTAGGGTTGGGGGAGATGCTAGATATCAGGAAAACACGCAAATATGATATTACTGCTGAATATTGTGATGATGCGATTGGTTACAATAGACCCAAACTAAAAGATAAACAATATAAGGTGATCCTTAGCAAGAAAGCAAAGCATCAGACCAAAGCAGTCTTCTGGGATTTCAGTAATGCAGTCCAGATTAAGGCCTTTTTTTGTTTTTTTGTTTTTTTTTTGCAATTTAAAGGTTGACTCCCTGAAACTTGCTTCTTCCAAATGTTATCAAACATCTCTTGTTCCAGGGAGCCTTAGGCTTTAGAGTTAAGGTGGTACTGATGCTAATCTTAGCCTTGCATTGATCAGAGACACTGGTGTATATTCCAGTTCATGACTGGCTTTAGTCTTACCGATTGTCATTTTGTTCATTCTGAGCAGTTTGCAATAATCTAAGTGGACATTTTAGGTTTATTAATTGACATTTTGTTACCATTGACTGCTCTAGTTAATACTAAAATGAACACACTAATGAAAGTCTGTTTTTCAGAATTAAAAAATTACCCATTTTTAATTTTTGGATGTGACTGTAACAGGTTCCAACGGCCCAGATTACTCGTAAAAGGTCTGGTAGCTAAAACTGGTAAACATTGAGACACATGTTATTCTGCGCTGACCTGCTGGTATTCCTGGCAAACCTCGGGCTGCACCAGGGTGTCTGCGATCTGCTGGAGATGTGGATTTAGGAGAGGCTTGGAGCCGCCTCCCAGGACGGCAGCCAGAACCATGAGGGGGGTCCAGGGGTAGGAGGGAGAGTTTGGGGTCATCACATGTTCAAGCATCAGCTTCAGGAAGACAGGTGGGGGGACAAACGTCCCAATCAGTTTAGCAGCTGCCAGGCACTGTTGGTGAGCACAGACGGGAAGAGAGACAGAAAAAAATAGGAGACATCAGGAGGAATGAGAAAAGGAAGTCCTTTTTTTAATCCAGCAAACATCAAAGATCTTGACAATCCATTATTATAAACAGGTGCATCCTAGATCCATGAACCCTGCTCGTCCCGCTCCAAACTGACAACAGCTGATGAACTTAAATGAATGTGAAACTGCTGACTCCACGGATGCGGCACATCCTTCCCGTCTGATTAAAGGTTCTCTGGGACTTACGTTGTTCACCACGTCCCTCTCTGTGTCGCTACAGGCCCGGTAGAGCACGGCCAGCAAAGGCTGCAGGTGCTGCGTGGTGTGGTCCTCGGCGTGCAGCAGCAGCACCGAGAGCAGCTGGGACGTCCGGACCCGGGTCGGTACCAGCCAGTCGGTCACATCGTGGGCGATGGCTGGTACCAGTCTGCTAAGGTTTCTAACCACCAGTTCTCTGCATCCCAGACCTGGACGATCCACTGGAGAGAGAAAAAGGAAGATTTTTTTTCTAATGAAACCAATTTTTCATTAAAAGTTATTTTACAAGAGAACAACCTTTAACCAGGAATAAAAAAACACCATTTTATTCAGCCCAACCTGAAATTTTTATAAAAAAAATTTAATGTTCTGATTTATTATTCTAGTTGTTAATCCTGTTATTATAAGCTTTAAACAGAAAGAAAATTCACATTTAAAATAACTAAAATATATGTGTTTTTATACTTCAATTAATTCACTAATATAT